AAAATAAATAAATAAATAAATAAATAAATAAATAAATAAATGGTAGGTAGATAGATAGATGGATAGATAGACAATAAAAAATAAAAAAAGAAATGGAATGCAGATAGAGGGGTTGGGGAGAAGGGGAATTGGAGTTGTTGAGCTGGTGCAGTTTCAGTTTGGCAAGAAAAACGTTCTAGAGAACAGTGTGAGTGTGAACGAGGCTACCAACACTTAAAAACAGGTTGAGATGATAAATCTGTATTTATGGACATTTAAACAAAATTTTAAAATTTTAAATTTAAAAAAGCAATACAAATGGCATCGCAGACACTTCTGTGCCATTCTTCAGTTGGGATTGCTGCTGACAGCACGCCTCAGCTTGAAACCAGGAGGCAGATGAGCACTGAAGGCTCCCTACCTGACAGGAGAATCCAGCTGTGCCAGGAGGACAGACGCAGTGCTCTAACAGGTATGCCACCTCTCCCTCAGAGGGCGGCTCTGCAGCCTTCCGGCCAACCTCCATGGAAATGTTGGTGATTCTGTGCCATCATAGTGGAAGAGGGGGAAGAGGGGGAAGAGGAAGCACTGACAGGTTAAGAAACATCTGGAAATACTGCATATGCTATAACATTTTCGTCCAAGCCAGAGAGTTCCTCGCAGCTGAGGGTGGTTTGACTCATGATTATAAACAAAGCGCACTAGCATGTGCAGTCTGTGATCACAGCGATGGTCCATGGCCAGCATGGCGGAACTTGAAGAATACACAACAGAAGGTACATTAGAGCCTCTCCGAGTGCTGGTTTTCCTGGGACTTAATGGGTTTCCTTATGGATTAAATGGGTAGGTGGTCATACCTCCGACATGGTTACAAAACAGAAATGGCTCAGTGGTTAAGAACACTGGTTGTTCTTGCAGAAGACCCGGGTTCGAATCCCAGCACCCATACGGCAGCTAACAACTGTCGATAACTCCAGTTCCAGGGGATCCGATGGCCTCTTCTGTCCTCTGCAGGCATTGCACGATACGGATGCACTTACCTACATGCAGGCAATACACTCACACACAGGCAATACACTCACACACATAAAATAAAAATAATAAATAAAATATTTTTTAAAAAAAGAAATATTGCATCTTTCAAGGGTAGAAAAGAGCTTTTTGCATTTTATTTTCAGCTCAGATCCTACAATGTTGGATTTATTTTTAGCCACATTACCATGCCAGATGGGATAATTTTCACTTCACGCACTCCATTCCATAATTACACTCTGATAGTTTGGATAGAAATGTCTCTAATGGCTCATGTGTTCATAACTTAGTCCTCTAGTGATGGTACTGAAGGAGGTAGGACCTAGTTGGAGGAAGGAGGTCCCTGAGAGCATGCTGTTGATGGAGATAGCTTGCTCCCAGTCTCTGACTCACTTGCTCTCTATTTCTTGGCTACCATGAAGTAAGCAGCATTTGTCTGCCATGATGCTTCTGCCTCACCACAGGCCTGAAAGCAAAGGAGGTGGCTTGACAGGGACTTAAACCTTTGAAACTGTGAGCCAATATGAACCTTTTTTCCCTTTAACTTGTTTCTCTCAGGTGTTTTATCACAACAACAAAAAGTTGACTGACACATATTAATATTTAACAAATTTGGATAAGGAACAGAGATGCACCTATTAGTAAAGATTAGGTAACGGTAGTGAGGGAACAAATCTTTTCAGTTCCATATCAAATAAGGAAATAACTTAAAATTCTAGAAGTTTCCATGTACCTGCTTTGCTGTAGCTCTTGACCATAGGATGCCTTGATGAGGATGTACTCAATATTGCTAAGAACAGACATAAAGTCCAAGTGTGTAACATGTTTTTCAGAAACAGAGTTAAAGTATTTCCAAAACTCCTGTGGGTGAGAAAGATGTCCAATTAAATTTAGAGCACAAATTCTCACAGACATATGGCCTTAAAGAGAACACAGTTCTTTCATAAATGTCTTCAGATACCAGGGCATATCTGTTCTGGGCATATCAATAAGTCTAACTGACAAAGACCTGCTGTAGCCAGCATTGGGGGTGGGGTGGGCCTATCCACCCACAGATACACACTGTCCAAGACAATGCCAGCCAGTGACCATGAAGCAAACACATTCTGAATGAAGGGACACTTTCCACATTCTAACAAGTCCAATGACGTCTGTGCCACTGTATCTATGCAAGTGGAAGCCAGAGTACCAGCGATCTAAGATGCAATCCCCACTAAACCAAGATAAGCCTACTATAGTAACCCCCCTCACCCACGGCAATACACTGCAAGATCCCCAGGGAATGTCTGAAACTTTAGGTAGTAGTACCAACTCCTAATGTGTTTTCCTATAGATACCTACAATACAGTTTAATTTATACATTAGGTACAATGGGGATTGGCAAAATTAATTAATACTAAAACAGAGTAATTATAACAACATGCTGTAATAAAACTGCCAGCATTATTATGCTTCCACTTTGGGGACACTGTCAAGAAAAAAAGATGAACTTAAGCACAAAGAAAGTAACACTGTGACAGATGAACTGATAGCCTAGAACTCTAGGTAACTACTAAGTGACTAGCAGGCCGGTAACTCATACAGGGAGGATACCATACATAAAATGATGAGTCAGGTCCTGGACAGATCAGAGCAGAAAGCTATAAGATTTCATCATAATACTAAGAACAGTACACAATTTAAAACTTACAAATTGTTTCCACTTAATATCTTTGGACCTAAGTTGACCTTGAGTAACTGAAGCTACGGAAAGCAAAACTACAGGGAAGACTACTGTGTGCCTTTCCTGAGGACACGGAATGTGGACAGTCCTTAGAGACCTGGGAAACCCACTGGAGCTGGATCCCAGAGCGTCTTGCTCTGTGTTTTATCAGCAACTCTGAGTTTTCATTACCCTGAGAGCAAAGTTCACATCCTTAGGGAATGGATACGAAAAGGCCACACATCACCTCTTTCATCCCCACTTCTCGATCCTGTCGCACTCCGTTCTCTGGCGCAGGTGCATCCATGTAAATGACATGCTTCCTGGTCCGACCTCCTTTGATAAGAACTTGAGGCTCATAATTGGCGGTGCCAGTGGCATGGGCAGCGTAGAAGGCCACGCTGTACCGCAGTTTGCCACCATAGGCCAGGAGCTAACAAAGGACAAATTCTTTTTATTTCTCTGACACATTCTTGGTTTATAAAGACCTTTCATTAAAAGCCTGTCATTACATAAAAGATGTCATACATGAAACTCCATCCAATGGGTGAAAAGTGTCATCTGGAATTTGCTTCCTTCTATTCTGTTCAGTCTCATTCTATTAAACTGGTTAAAGCTTTTACTTCTGTGATATCAACAAAAGTGGTATCAGAACTAATCAGTGCAGTAATGGTTCTCGTTATCACAGGCTTCTTTGAATCAAAATCATCTATATCTAAAGGAGCCCTGGAGATGGATTTGTTCATTATAAAGATCAAAGTGAGTCTGGCATGGTGCCACAGGTTGGTTATCTCAGGACTTGGGAAACTGAGGCAGGAGGATTAAAAATCCTGGGCTAATATAGTGAGATCAACCTCAAAACACCAGAATGATGATGTAAAATAATAAAGACCCAGGTGAATTCATACAGTATTTATGTAAACAAAAAATGCAATCAAGGCCTTTTGTAACTCTTTTACAGTAGGGTGCCTGCTTGGGAAGCACTTCCTAGGGCAAATCTAGCTCTGAGCTTCCTATGTAGCTGATACTACTACTTACAGAACTGACTTGTTGAATTATTGCTTAAGAAAGAAGAAAACTAACATGAATTATATTGTATAAGACTTTAAAAATTAAAACATTTGAAGATCCAAACATTTGCAAGGGTTTTTAGAAGCTTAGGATATCTCCATCCTCCTTGGAAGAGGAATTTAATTACCATGTTCCCTTTAGTGATGGTCTCACACAAGTAGGACACTGTTTTCAGTTGTGTCTGTCACTTTCTAGAAAGGGAAGCTGGCTCTCGGCCAGTGTGCACCCACCTGGTCTCCCTGGAACTGCTTTGGCAGCCGCCAGTAAAATGGCTCCCCGTGGACATGCTGGCGGACAACCTCAGCGTCCAGCAAGATGTCAGGAGCCTGGAAATGCACTCCTGCGACTGTGCCCTCAAGGTTGCTCTGAGAAACCACACGCAGAAGAGTCTGATGGGAGGCCAGTGTTATCTAGGTCCAGAACAGAGCAAGATGAATTTTGGATTAAGAATAAAGTCATCACAGAGATGGTTCAGTGGGTAACAGCACTTACTGTGCAAACATGAGGCCCATGCTCAAATCCCTAGAAACAGTGTAAAAATCGGGTGGGTGTGACTGCACATGCACTTGTAACCCTAGAGCCATGGAGGGCACAGATGGGGGTACTGCTGGGACTTGCTTGCTGCTAGCCTAATTCTAGGTTCACTGAGAGTCCCTATCTCAAAGGAATACCTAGTGTCCTCCTCTGGTTTCTGCATACACTCACCCCAACACACACACACACACACACACACACACACACACACACACACACACGCGCGATATTCGGTATTAAGCATCTGCATTTGATCTTCATGACTAAAGCCAAGATAGCAAAGACTTTTTCTTTAAGTTGCACATCTGGATAAAGATGAGCTGAAAGTCCCTGTTGCCCTGGGCAACTGTCAATCACAGGAAGGATACCTTTGAGATGTTGCAGTTATCTCTCCTTTCTAAGAAGAGCCTTTGGTGGAGCAGCTGAAGGTCAACCTTCAGCTTGGCTCCATTTACTTCTCTGGAACACAGAAGTGGAACTGGGATCCATGTACCAACCAAATCAGTATCCTAGAATTTCTGATGTTACTAGGGAAACTCTGTAAATCTCTGCTGTCTCCCTATGCCCACCTGACTCCCAAAGGCAAGAGGGGTAACAGAACATTCATAACTGTATATATGTGACTTACTGGAGTCCTCACGTAACCCTCCAACTCTGAGCAGAGCTGTGACAATCCAGAGCAGAAGCAGGGGCTGCACCCTAGGGGGTTGTCGGCATGCAAGGCAAAAGTGCCCACTTGACACTCACTGCATTGGAGGCCCACGACATTCTCCTGATCAAGGCGGGGGGCGGGGGGATGACAGAAATTAATGCCCAGAAAAAAAAAGATGTAATTTCTGTACACATGGAGAGGAAATAAAACACATAAACTCACAAGCCTCACTAAGCTCAGTTTCCTGATACCATGTCTCTAAGCTCTGTGAGCATTAGTTTTCTCAAACACTCAGAGATTCCCAGACATGACTGACTGTCAAAGTTGTCTTTGCAGTTGGAAAAAATAGACTTCCTAATATGACTCTCCTGTCAGGTGGAACACCAGACCAGGTGATGGCAATGTCAGGCCCCACTGTTCTGAATGACTGTCATCAGGAGATATAGGATGGCAAACGCAGAGCTAGGGAAGTTTCCAGGCCCTGGTACGAACATGACTTCTTCCTTGGTCATCACTAATCCTACATCATCGACAAGACAAATCACCCTCAGGCTGACACCTCACCATTGTTGCAAAAAGGATTAGAAAAGGTGCCAATGACCTGGTAACAAAGCATGCTGGGAAAACCACTGGGTAGCTATATGATTACAACTGACACTCAACTCTTACTTTGTAAGAAAATATTGCCCACAATTCCCTTTACTTTGTCTAGCACATATAATAATTACATGACCAAGAGCAAAATTACTTCATAGTTATAAAAATCTCATTTTCCCCAAGCCTTGCTAAATGTTTTAGCTGTTTCTTCAAGATAGACGGGCTACTCCATCCACCGGAACACACATAAGAAAGCAGTGATTTTTCAAAGCAGTTCAATCACCTGACATGTAATAAATGGCAAAACTTCTATTTTAAGAATCTTCCATCATTTTACCAAAGCATATAGAGACTTTAAAGTCAGACATAGGAGTTTGAGGATGTATTTAAAAGCTTGCTGCTAACTTAAATAGACATTAAGTCCAGGCATGGGAAACGAGGAGTGAGGAGGGTCGACCACAAATACCTTGCAGGAGCAGACACCACTTTCCTCTGCACAGCTGCAGAGACCAGGCACCAGGTCACAGGTGTCTGCCAGCGTCCCCCTCAAGTCACAGTCACAAGGCACACAGTCAGGAAACCTTCTGTAACCCAAGGAGCATTGATCGCAGCTCCGCCCACCGAACCCAGTCTTGCATTCGCACTGGCCAGACAGTATATCACACTGAGGACCTGTGGAGCCCACAAGGCTGCAGTTGCAGGCCTGAAAGAGAGAAACAAAACTGATAAAAGGCAGCACTTATGTCCTCAGAAGGTACACAAACTCAGACTCTACTAAGTATGGGACAATAACACAAACAAGCCAAACTCTCACTGTTCCCTCACGGGGCCAGGAGGGCTGCATGGCAGGACATGCACGCAACTTAGTGACATACTTATGCACATTATGTCAAAACTGAATTCAGTTAAATCTAAGAGAGCCAACCAGCTCAGAGAACTTATTTTAGACACCAGGTAATGTCCCCACCACTTTAAAACACAAGCTCAGTGGGGCCTAACCTAAGAAAATTACAGAAAACCAGAGCCCTCACAGGTTTGACTGAATCCCCCAATGAACTGATTTGCAACTCTGCTGGAACACACAGGCCAGAACGTATTTAAAGGGCATTAAATATCTATTCTGATTTTCTAGTGAATTTTACAACTAAGTTCTTGAAGAAAACCCACTGTAAAGCATTTGAAAGATGCCAATCTCATGCATTTCTTCCTGTAATTGTTCTAAGTCCACTATTTAATTATTTAGTGATGGATCACAGCTACATCCCTAGGCTAGTCTAGAACTGGGCTCAAACAATCCTCTTTGCCTCAGCCTCTGGGGTAGCTGGGACCAGCGGAATGCCCCACTACTGCTCCAAGTTATAATGATTTAATTAATTAATTCTTATTTTATGTGTATAAGTGTTTTGCCTGTATGCAAGCACACCATGTGCATTCACTGCCTGTGAAGGCCAGAAGATGGCATCAGGTTCTCCGGAAATGCAGTTATAGAAGGTTGTTAGTTGCCACGTGGGTGCTGGGAACCAAACCCAGGTCTTCTGCAAGAGCAGTCAGGGCTCTTAACCGCTGAGCCATCTCTCCAGTCCTCCAAGATGTACTGCTTTTAAACAAATGCAGTGACACAATTTGATTGCTTAAAACCAAGAGCCTGGATAAAGGGAAATTTGGTCCAGGGGAGGAACTCTGAGGTCAATTGCAGTGGCAGCGCAGCACCCACCTGGCACCCTTGCTCTGGGTCCCGGCCCCAGTACTCCTCCTCACAGTCCTCACATTTCAGGCCCCGAGTATGAGGAGGGCAGAGGCACTCTCCAGATCCTGGGTCACAATTATTCTGCGTATGAGCACAGTCACAGGCTAAAACAAAAAAACCAAGCATCAGTACATATTTAGATGGCTGATGTGATTAGAGGGGTGATGGTTGATAGTACAAGTTATCTCTCTTTTATGACGAACTGGAATCATTAAAAGAGACCTCATGACTCCTGAGACCTCCTCCTAGGTCCTGGAGGTGGCTGCCCCCCGGTGAGGAGAGGCAATCGGAGGATGAGAAGTGGAACAAAGAGACCCCCCAATGGCTGGAAGAACAGATGGCACTCACATCACTGAGATCTCACTTCGCTGAGATCTTACGTCACTGAGATCTTATTATCTGCCCACTGTTGTGTTAAGGATATGGCCCCCAACCCTTACAGTAGCCCCTAGATGCAGGCCACTATTAAGGCCTTGTTTTACAGATAAGGAAACTAAGGCTAAGCGAGGTTAGTAATTAACCTAAGCTCAGACAGCTAGAGTGTGGCAGAGCCAGAACCAAAGTGCACGCTTATAACCTGAATTACAAACAGAAAACAGGTATGAAGCCCCACTATGAAGAAAAGCAAAGGAACTTCACAGAAGTTAATCTGCTGTCAATGAAGGTGAGAGGGACGTCTGACAAGAAACGGCTAAGGAACTCGAGAACTTACGTGTACAACCACCATCCTGATATGCATAGAAGCCGCGTAAACACCTGTCGCACCTTTTCCCAGCTACACCTGGTACACAGTGACACTGGCCTTCATCTGTGCAGTTGTCTGACATGGAGCCCGCTGCACTACAGTTACAGGGCACACAGCCAAGCCCTGTGTCCAACCCGTAGTAGCCAGGCTATATCACAAGAAGGAAAAGAAGTGGGTTAATAGCCAATACACACAATGGAGTGTTTTCCAAGTCACACATAAGATGTTCCACAGAATCATCAGGTGTTCACACCTCTGTTCCTTAGCACACTGTGTTCTCTAAACAGGGAAGCACAGCACGGACCAGCCATGCCTATGGAGTAAGCTCTTCCCCACTGTCATAAATTCAAGTTCCTACGACCCCAGCCTGAGGTGTCAATTACACATCACCAGCAAGTACTTGAATGGCAGGCAGTGACCAGTAAGCATCTTACCAGGCACTGGTCACACTGCTGTCCTGTCACATAAAGTTTGCAGTCACAGAGTCCAGTCTCCAGATGGCACACACCAGAATGGGAGCCGTTTTCATGGCAGTCACAGGCTAGGACATGCAAGACGTATTAATGATTAGTTTCGACTATGGTTATGGTAAAATCCTTTTAATTCCCAAAGGGAAAAAAATTAAAAGTTCAGTGCACCAGATCATGGAACTAGTCTGCTTCATAAATAACTGAAAGTCCAGCCAGTTTGCCAAGCAACCACAGCACCAGGAATGGTGACCCTGGGGCTGGAGGCTTTGTTACCTGAGAGAAGGCCTGGAATCAGCCTCTTGTCTAAGCTCACCTTGAACAAGAATCTGGCTTCTCTCTGGCCTTTCATTTCACCACAGCTTTGCATGAAATCCATGGAAATGAAGCCCTGTGGCCTTAGTCGTGAAAATGAACTTTCTCCCTTATCCCATAGCTTGACTGTATATGTGACACCTGATGGTTCAGCACACACCCATTCTTATCTGTGCCCCATCAGGTAAGACACAGACAGGTGTACACACACACCACACACACACACTTCCCCTTACTTACTAAGTCTATCTCCCTCAGCTCTTGCTTTGTGGCCCCTCCTTGCCTCTTGTCTGCTCAGGGGTCAAAGTTTCTAAACACCTCACGTGTTAAATTCAGTGAGCAGATTTCAGTATTCGTCTTAATGGATCTTTCTACTGAATTTGATCCGCTGACTTCTCAATCCCTGTCGTTTCAATCAAGGTGTTCATATTGCTGAATCAGGTTGAGGGGCCCAGGGCTATAAAACATTTTTAATCTCTTAACCTATGGTTCTAGAATATTTTTTTCTGGATCTTTGGTGCCCCCTTATGTCTTTATGTTGTAATGTCACAGTAAGACTAACATTTACAAAAAATTATTGAAATACAAAACTGCCATTTTGATTCACTCACTCCATCTTTAAGTCTGTGCCAAAATAAAAATTCAGAAAAATTTGAGGGCTGCAGCATCATCCCCAGAGCTAGGCCCTCTGAGGCCTATGAAAACAACTTAGCAAGTAGTTCTACATGGTCCTTCATTTCAAGGCTCCAAACAGGACTTAGCAAATCACTGTGGGGTGGGAGGGGCCTGGGCAGGGGATGGGGTGAGGTCAGGTAGTTCAAGTGCAGACCACTAGGACTTTCCACCACCATGCTGTAGCAGTTTCGGGGTCGGAGCCTCACCCTTTTTCATTTTACCGTTGAAGTCCCACCTGCCTCTGGCAACCTCACAGCATCCCTCTCAGTATGTAGTGGCTTTAAGTACTGCTTTCCCCTCATTTCAGCCACCAGCAGCAAAGCCAGAACTTGGTAAGAAAACCTCAGTCCTGCAATGGAACGGTAGGAGCTTCCTGGATCTCTGACCTTCACAAATAATCAAGTCACTGTAGAGTACAAGGGAGGACCTGGGTGTCAGGGGTGTATCTGTCTGATCAACAGGAGACCCATCATTAGTTCACAAGCTACATTCAAGATAAAGGCTCTTCCAGGCTGAGTCCTTTTGACACATGTAAGGAGATGGAGATTCATATGGTCACATATAATAACCTTGACCTCACAGATCACGCACTCACCACGGCAATTTTTGGCAGTCACGGCGTCCCCATAGAACCCATCTGCACACCTTTCACAGTGGGCACCATCTGTGTTCCTCAAGCATTTCAGGCACTCCCCGGTGACAGAGTCACAGTGGCCAGCCTCGAATGGATCAACATTGCCACTGCAGTTACATGGTAGACAGGATCCCCCTGGCACTGTTGGGTTTCCATAGTAACCATCTGCACATCTATATCCAACATGGAAAGCAGGATCAAATAAATGCAATTACTCAAGACATTAGCCCACTAGCCAGGGACTCTCCGGGTGGCTACTAAATCACACTGGGTCTTTTCTGTAAGATTTACTATGGAAAAGAACTGCATCCCCATTCAAGCATTCACAGGTCTTCCTCACCTATTGTGAGATGGGAGCAGATCCAAAATAAGTCATAAATCCAGTGGATAGGCACCATGTCCTGAGCCAATTCTGGCCTACCCCTGACCACTCACAATGTCACCCTGCTCTTGACAGGCTGAGCCAGAGCCAGGCACCAAGACTTACGTGTGGGAAAGGACAATACTGGCTTTCAGGTGCCAGAAGATGACTATTAAATCAAGCCACTTACCACAGTGACTGTTGTCTGAACAACTGAATGCTCAGACATGTGAGAACGGTAACTACTGACTCCTCTTCCCTACTGTCCTTGATGTGAACTCTGATGAGCTCCGGGGGATAGAACACTGCTCTCAGTGGATATGCTGGCTTTCTTTATGAGCTCATGAAATAATAATGCTCCAAAACTTCAAGACCACATTTTACATATATGAAGAGTTTCATCACTATACATTGTATACATACATTGAATTATCACATCATTCCTACAGGGCCTAGGCTATTACCATGCGTCAATTAACACTGAAACAACTGTAAATGTTTAAAACTAAAACATAGCATTTACACTGAATTTTAAAAAATGGCACTAATGCTGTTTGGTGAAACCGGGGGACACAGAGTGAATACCTCTCACACCAGGCTCCCGAGTAGCCCAGAGCACACCGGTCACAGATCACTTCCTCTCTGTCAGTGAGGTGGCAGGTAGGGCTGAAACTGTTAAAAAATTTTGAAATAAATGTGATTTTCCAGTGGATATTGCCAATTTCTAAACCTTTTAAATGGTTATTTTCTTCTACTCCTGCCCTAACCAACTCTCAACAGGTTATCAGTCTTCAGCCCAGAATTCAAGGCTCTGCCACAGCACACACCTTCCAAGTCCCCTTTGCCCATGGTCCACTGCCCCTGCTCCTCTGTCCCTCAGCCCACAATGTGCTTGAGTTTCCCCATCTTTGCCTGTGTTAACTGGTTCATCCTCATTACCGAGCTCAACCTTGCTTCCTCCAAGAAGCCTGCTTGGATGATGTGGGGTATTTCAGCCTCTTCTTTCTCCTAGAGGTCTCCAGTTTGATCTTCCAAACTCCCAAGTTTGCTTTCCCCTAGTGCTTGCTGAAGTACTAGAACAGTCTGAATAGGGAAGGCTGACAGTACCACACATTTCATTGTGAGTAATCCTGCACAGTCTCTACTGTCACCCAGGTATGGTTTGAATGTGCGCCTCAAAGTTTCAAGTGCAGAAAGTTTGGTTCATACTGTGACAACATTGTGAGCTACTAGGTAGATCATGGGAGGCACTGCCTTTGGAAGGGACTGAGGCACTTATGATGGAATCAAATTAATTCTCAAGAGACTGAGTTGTTATAGAAGAGTGAGCCCAGTCCTTGAACTTCTTTCTGGCTTCCTGCGTTGGGATGTGATCTCTTCCTCTCATACATGGTCTATCATTGTGGTGGTATCATCACCTCAGTAGAGACTGGCATCATGCCCCTGAACCTCCAGAATGATGAGCTATACAAACGTGCTTTCTTCCTGAGTTACCCAGCTTCCAGAACTTCAGAATGGTAACAGAACTGTTGAACACAGCATGTTTTTATAGTCTAGAGTTTCAAAGAATAATCCCTGTGGAGGGAATCCATTGGCAGTAGGTAGAGGAAGAGTTCCAGTGGTTAAATGAGAGGAGAGAAGAGAGAGAGAGAGAGAGAGAGAGAGAGAGAGAGAGAGAATATGAGAGGGGAGGGGATGATTTCAAACTATGGGCCTGCAGGAGTCATATGACCCAGCATGGTATACAAGGCCCTGCTGAGAAGACTTCCTCCTATCTCCTGCTTTGTGCTACAGGACTACTTGCAATTCCTCAAGCAGGGTATGTGTGTGTGTGTGTGTGTGTGTGTATGTTTATCAGGCCATGCCTTGGTACACATGGGTCCCCTGATCGTCAAACCCCTTTCTCCTTCATAGCTGAGAGCAGTGCTTCTCCACATTCATCCCTGGACCCACCCCAGGCAGGCTCAGCTGTTCTCTCCTCCCCCACTGCCTGGTGAACTGGTCTCCACTGAAGTCTGGAGCACACTATGCTCCCAGGCTAGTAGCCGGGGATGAACAGCTTCCTATTCAAGTCATCACTCTGACATCCCTTACACAGCAGGCATGCAATACATACTTGATGACTGAATTCATGTAGCCTCGTATTTTCATAATTTGATCAAAAGTCATTAACCCCAAGGACAATGTTTTATTCATTGATGCACTGTCCTGACAACCAAATGTATTCTTGTGAAAGAAAGATGGCAGACATCAGTCCAAGAAGAGGAAAGTATGTGTGCATCCTTGGTACCAAACACCTTTCCTTGTGTACTTCAATACACCAGACTTTTAATAAGAAAATAATTCTACCCTCATCTCTAATCTTAATCAACTGTAACTGGGCAATATTCACACTCATGACACAATCTTGCTTTGGAGACATCAGAACACACCTCAATGGGAATCTGGCCACACCAGACAGGAGCTGCTGGTGAAGGCTGAGGCTTACTTGTTGGAGTCAATGGATAGTGGGCAGGCGCAGGGATGGCAGTCCTCTGGAGTCCCATGTGAAGGTGTCCCGTAGAAGCCAGGCAGGCACTGCTCACAGTGGTCCCCCATGGTGTTGTGTGCACACGCCTAGGGCATATGCATGAACAGATGAATCAACTTCCTTAAAGGATTTTCCTTTTCCTTCCTTTAAGGATTTTCAGATTCATTTACAAACAAGCTGGAGTTCAAGTTAAAAACAAAAGGCTAGCCTGAGCCTTTTAACGGCGGAGCTATTCCTCCAGCTCTCGTCAAGAAATCTCAATGGACTCTGATATGAACCTTTGAAATTTGCCCTGTTCTGACTTTTTTCCGGTTCCCTGTCTAGAACTTGTAATGCTAACTACTCCTGCCTTTACTTCTCCTTCATATCTCCTATTCACCAGTCAAAGGACTTTCTTTTCTCCCTAAAGATAAGAGTTATGCGATTTTGGAGTCTTTTAGATAGACCCACTGAAGGAGTACCCCAACTGCCTCACCCTGCGTCCCTGTTCAGCATGGAAGTCCCGATTCCTTATTGGCAATTTGGGTAACCTCTTCAGAGGATGGTGTGAGAAGGAGGTAGGAATTGGCTAGGCAGTTAGGGCAAAAAGACCCCAAGGAAAAGTAGTTTCTTGGCTAAAAGTCAAAATGTCTTTGGGCCTCTTACCAACATACTCTGCTCCAAAGTACAAAAATGTCAAAAGTATTTGGGAGCTCTTATCTAATCCCTAAAAGATTTTAGGGTTATTTCTTCAGAGGGGGGAATGTTAGAGTAGCAAAAGCAAAACAAAGAAAGAAAGGAAGGAAGGAGGGAGGGAGGGAGGGAGGGAAGGAAGGAAGGAAGGAAATTTGGGAGCTCTTATCTAATCCTTAAAAGATTTTAGGGTTAGCTCTTCAGAGGGGAAAATGTTAGAGTAGCAAAAGCCCCATAAATAAAGAAGAAAGAGTACATGAAGTTGTCAGAAAAAAGTGATGGGGAGATATAGGAGGTGTTGGATGGGAGGGAGTGGGCACGGATTTGATCAAAACACCTTATAAGCATGTATAAAATTCTCAATAAATGTTTTTTAAAAGTTAAAAACGAAAGAAATTTTACAAAAGGCTAAATACTAAAACACACATGAACTCCAAGTTATAGTAGAAAAGTCTGTTTCCAGATTGATGTTTTATAAAGACTGTTTTTAATTTTGTGTATATGGGGGGGTATAGGCACATGTGGGGGGGGGCAGTGCCTGTGAAGGCCAGAAGAGGCTGTCAGGTCCCTTGGAGCTGGAGTTACTGCAGTTGTGAACTGCCTGACTGTGGATGCTAGGAACCAAACTAAGGTCCTCTAAAAGAGCAGTACATATCCTTAACTGCCAAGATATCACTCTATCCTCAAGATTGAATTTTTTAAAAATATAACTTGTATAAGGCTGTAGAAATGTTCCAGATTAAAGAACCCTAAAGAGATGTGACAATATAATGCAGTCCCTGACCTCCACAGATGGTCAGGAAAAACTGTACAGTGGGCCAGTGGGTGAATGGATGGCAGGTTAGAAAAAGGAAAGTGTTAAGGTTAAACTTATCTGAGGTGAGGAGTGCACCAGAGCTGCATAGGAACAAACACACTGGAGTATGTAAGGATGAGGGGCCATAGTGGATGCAGTGTGCTCCCCAATTTAATCCAAGACCTGGTTAAACAGATACATAGACGCACAGAGAGACAGATGATGAGGGAGATAATGACAGGGGATGTGGGTAAATAATGTAGGCATCATGACTTCTATTCTTATACATTTGGGGTAAAATAAAATTATTTCAAAATACAAGGTTTTAAAAACTAGGTGATAAAACTATAAACCCACAAAGTCTGGAAATCCAGCAAACTCTAAGTCAGATAAGCAAAACAAAGAAACAAAAATTTACACTAAAGGTACATAGTCAAATAGTTCAAAACCAGGGCCCAAATAAATGTTCGGGAGTAGACAGAAAAAGGAATGGCAGAACACCGGACCGCGTGCCCCTTCTCATTAGAAACAAGGTAAGCCCGAGCCAACGGGACAAGTCTAAAGTGCTGAAGAAAATCTGAGAACATTCCAAAACTGGAGGCAAAATTAAGTCTTTTCCAGATAAACAAAAGACAATTTGCCAACCAGCAGACCCGAGTGGAGAAAGCTAAAAAAGCTGTTCAGGCTGTAAAGTATGGTGCATGTGGACTATGATTTATCAGAAATACCCTGACCTGGAGAGTTCGGATCGTTTTTAGGTTCTGAAGCATGTCCATGTACATAATGAGGCATCCTGGAGAGCGGACCCAAACATAAACACAAACTTCATCTATATTTCATGTATGCCTTACACACATAGCTTGTGAATCTGTCTTATATAATATTTTAATAACTTTGTGCATGAAATAGAGAGTTTCATGGTATAGAATTCTCCTCTTGTGAGTAAGAGATGAACAGCAAGGATAAAGTGGGAGGGTCAGGGACAGAGCAGTGCCAATTGCCTTCACAGGCACAGGCTTCAAGGAGATGCTGTGTGTATTCCATACGGCTTCCCTGAGTTCCCCTTTCCTTGGTTTTTCATAGGTGCCCACCCTGCACTGACTGCCATCTGAGCTTCCTAGCGCCTCTCCTCACCCTGCCTCCAAGTTTGCACAGGTACAGCTTCTTTTCTTGGTGGTGTCCCTCTGAGTCACACATTTTATATGTTCCTGTCACTTCCATCCACCAAGTCAAACAGGATTTTCATCTCTGAACTACATACTTGCTGTAATGCCCGATGTTGATAACTTTCCCTACTTTAGCTTGGTGCTATAAACACAGAGTACTGCATCTACTTTATAGCAGGGTTTCACCAGTTTTATTTAGGTAAGTTATCCTAGGACAGAGCTTCTTAACTCAAATGTGGACACAAACCACCTGATGATGCATAGATTTGGATTCTGGGTCTGGAGACGGGCCTGAGCCTGCATTTCTAATGAGCTCCCAAGCAATACCCTTGTTGCTGGCCCTCAGACAACCATTGGGGAAGCAAGTCTCAGGCCTTGCTACATTTCCCATCCCCCACATGACCTTTTTTAGTTTAGTATGAATCCAAATTCATTAAGAAATGCAATGAGCCTAAATGGCTACATATTTGAGCTAAAATCACTGTGCAAAATAAATTTAACTTCATTTTAAAAATACTGGATTATGCTCATCTGTAACATGTCTGTGCAATATTGACTTTGATAGAAGGAATGGATTGGATTTTCTCTCTCTTTGGGTAAACTGTCAAGCAATTCTTCATGTGTCAATATTTCTCATGAGGGGGCCATGTCCCTGTTGG